TTTCCCCTTTTTCCCCCCCTTTTTTCCTCTTATTTTCACTTTTTTCTTTCATTTCCCTTTTTTAAAATTTCCCCCTTTTTTCTTTTTTCCCCTGTTTTTTTAAATTTTCCCCCCTTTTTTCTTTTATTTCCCCTTTTATTCTTTTATTTCCATTTTTTTTCATTTTTCCCCCTTTTTTCTTTTTTCCCCTGTTTTTTTAAATTTTCCCCCCTTTTTTCATTTATTTCCCGTTTTTATTTAATTTCCCCCCTTTTTTCTTTTATTTCCCTTTTTTCTTTTATTTCCTTTTTTTTTTCTTTTCTGTTTTTTTTAATTTCCCCCCTTTTTTTTCTTTTTTCCCCTGTTTTTTTTTAAATTTTTCCCCAGTTTTTCTTTTATTTCCCCTTTTTTTTGATTTCTCCTTTTTTTCTTTTATTTCCCTTTTTTATTTCTCCCTTTTTTCCATTTTTTTCCTTTTATTTCCCTTCTTTTTTATTTTATTTCCTTTTTTTCTTTTCCCCTGTTTTTAATTTTCCCTCTTTTTTCTTTTATTTCCCTTTTTTATTTCTCCCTTTTTTCCATTTTTTTCCTTTTATTTCCCCTCTTTTTTATTTTATTTCCTTTTATTTCTTTTTCCCTTGTTTTTTTAATTTTCCCTCTTTTTTCTTTTATTTCCCATTTTTTCTTTTATTTCCCTTTTTTCATTTATTTCCCTTTTTTATTTCTCCCCTTTTTTTTCTTTTTTCCCTTTTTTTTCCTTTTATTTCCCCTTTTTTATTTTATTTCCCTTTTTTTCTTTTATTTCTCCCCTTTTTTCCTTTTATTTCCCTTTTTTACCTATTTTTTCTTTTATTTCCCTTTTTTCATTTCTCCCATTTTTTCTTTTTTCCCTTTTTTCTTTTATTTCCCCTTTTTATTTTTATTTCTTTTTTTCCCTTTCTTTTCATTTTCCCCTTTTTTTCCTTTCCCCCTTTTTCTGCTTTTCCCTCTTTTTCTTCTCTTTTTTCCCTCCTTTATTATTTTTCCCTCTTCTTTATATCCCTTCCTTTTTCCCCCTTTTTCCTCTTTTTATTCATTTTTTCCTCTTTTTTTAACCCCTTCTTTTCCTCTTTGTTTTTAAAATTTCCCCCTCTATTTTCCCCCTGCATTTTTTTCTCTGTCTTTTCTTCTCCATCTTTTAAAAACCTCTTTTACTTTCCCAATTCGCCTTTTCTTTATTTTATAACTTGTTTTAATTCCCTCCCTCGCGCTCTCTGTGCTGCTCCAACCTCAACCCCGTTTTTATCGCATTGTACCCAACCCCCCGCGGCCGCTTTGTACAAGGTGGAACTCGATACTTTATGTAGTTTTTATATGTTGTAATATTTCTTCAAATAAATCGCGCCTATAAGTTATAAAACAATTATTAAAAAATTCTCTCCGCCGCGCTACGAGTAGGCCGCAAACCCTCATGGCGGCGTTGCTTAGCAACCGCTTCCCGCCATGCCCCGCGCGGGGCGCTTCCCCCCGCCGGAAGTGACGCGCGCGGGCCGGAAGTGGCGGGCGGCCTTTCCGGTGTGGCGGCGTGAGGGCGGCGCAGGCGGCGATGCCGACCGGGGACTACGAGTGAGGGGGGGAGCGGGAACCGGGAGCGGAAACCGGGAGCGGGAACCGGGAACGGAACCGGGATTGGCTTCGGGACCGGGGACGGGAACCGGGATCGGGAATTGGGATCGGGAACAGAGTCACGGCGGGCTCGGGGCCTGGCGGGGCCTGCTCGGTCCCGGTTGTGGGGCCTGGTCGGTCCCGGTTCGGGGTCCCCGAGGTCCCGATCGGGGTCCCCGAGGTCCCGGGGGGCTTCGGGCGGGGCCGGGGCCGTGAAGGGAAAAGGGGCGGGGGGACAGGAGGGGACAGAGGGACAGGAGGGACCGTGGGGGTGGCACTGAGGGGACAGAGGGACAGGAGGGACCGTGGGGGTGGCACTGAGGGGACAGAGGGACAGGAGGGACCGTGGGGGTGGCACTGAGGGGACAGAGGGACAGGAGGGACCGTGGGGGTGGCACTGAGGGGACAGAGGGACAGGAGGGACCGTGGGGGTGGCACTGAGGGGACAGAGGGACAGGAGGGACCGTGGGGGTGGCACTGAGGGGACAGAGGGACAGGAGGGACCGTGGGGGTGGCACTGAGGGGACAGAGGGACAGGAGGGACCGTGGGGGTGGCACTGAGGGGACAGAGGGACAGGAGGGACCGTGGGGGTGGCACTGAGGGGACAGAGGGACAGGAGGGACCGTGGGGGTGGCACTGAGGGGACAGAGGGACAGGAGGGACCGTGGGGGTGGCACTGAGGGGACAGAGGGACAGGAGGGACCGTGGGGGTGGCACTGAGGGGACAGAGGGACAGGAGGGACCGTGGGGGTGGCCACGGGGGTGGCCCGGAGGGGACAGGAGGGGACAGGGAGCCTGAGGCCGTTGTGTCCCCACAGCTCCAAGCCCAGCTGGGCTGACCAGGTGGAGGAGGAGGGAGGAGAGGATGGTGAGTGACACCGGGGACACCTGTGGGGACACCTGGGACACCTGGCAGGAGTGACACCTGTTACACCGGTCACACCTGGGACACGTGGCAGAAGTGACAGCTGTGACACCTGTCATTGGTCCCACCTGGCACACCTGTGGGGACACCTGTGGGGACACCTGGCAGGAGTGACACCTGGGACACCTGGTGGGGGTGGTACCTGTGACACCTGTCAGGGGTGGCGTCTGTGGTACCTGTCACACCTGTGCCACCTGTCATTGGTGCCACCTGTCACACTTGTCACTGGTGCCACCTGTCAGACGTGTGGCATCTGTCACACCTGCCACACCTGTCATTGGTGTCACCTGTCACACCGGTCACACCTGGGACACATGGCAGAAGTGACACCTGTCACACCTGTCACTGGTGCCACCTGTCAGACGTGTGGCATCTGTCACACCTGCCACACCTGTCATTGGTGTCACCTGTCACACCGGTCACACCTGGGACACATGGCAGAAGTGACACCTGTCACACCTGTCATTCATGGTACCTGTCACACCTGTCACTGGTGCCACCTGTCAGACGTGTGGCATCTGTCACACCTGCCACACCTGTCATTGGTGTCACCTGTCACACCGGTCACACCTGGGACACATGGCAGAAGTGACGTCTGTGACACCTGTCATTGGTGCCACCTGTCACACCTGTCACACCTGTCATTCATGGTACCTGTCACGCCTGTTATTGGTGCCACTTGTCACACCTGTAGCACCTGTCACACCTGTCATTCATGGTACCTGTCACAGCTGTCATTGGTGACACATCTCGGGGTGCCACCCGTGTCCTCAGGGACAGAGAGCTGTTCCAGGGCTGGGCGAGGCTGGGGTGACCTGCCCAGGTGGGAGGGGTGCCCTGAGCCCAGGTGAGCCAGGTGAGGTTACCTGAGCCCAGGTGAGGCTGTACCTGAGCCCAGGTGG